TCGAAATCCTACTTGACAAAAAATCATGCTTCGTAATTAGGTTTGGACAAAAGAGGAGGGTTGGAAGGGTTCCTGATTCTGGTCCAGAGCTCTGTCACCGGGATCGAATTGCGTGGGGATGAAGTTGAGATGTAATGAAAAATTTTCAATTTTAAGCATAAATTCAATAAAAATATAACTTTAAAATCACAAAAATTATTAATAATAATTTTTATGATTTTAAAAAATAAGTCCATTGCATATGGAGCTGAAAGTGTCATTGTTGACAATTCTCCTGGCATAATGCTAATAATAGACTAAATCAAAATGACTCAATTATATTCTAGTGCGTCTTCTAGTAGTGAAGTTTCTAGAAAAAAAATATATCAAACGACGCAACGCACCTTGGGTCGCTATGGAAACAACCTCCTTGTATAATTACAAGGGTAAGGTCTGCGTACAATTGACCCCCAGACCCCAACCTGTTGGGAATATACTGGGTACGTATGTTGATGTTGATGTTGATGATGCATAAAAATTATTAATAATCACGTACGTGCAACTTGCTTGTAAGTTAAAGGATTAAACTAATGAAGATAAAAAAAAAGTATAAACTAATGAAATTTTGAAAGTTTAATGATATACATAAAGAATTGAAAGGTTTTGTTGGCAGGTGACAAAATGTATGCATTTTCCTTGATTTTTCACCAGCTTTCATCATTGACTTTGTTGTTAGTCAGACATGATGTACCAATGAGTGTCCCAATGGTGTTTTCGGGTTTTGATCTTCTGGATCAATGCATACTGGGTGATGTGGTCCAACGGCTCAAAACATATATAGGCTCGAATTCTACGTGTCCCTAAGTCCATTAATTTCAAGAACACCCTGAGATTTATTCTACTTGCAGACATCGATCTCGTAGAACTTCACTGCCGTTTACGAAGTAAAAACATCAAGGATATATTATATTACATTTGTTAAAGAGGTGCAGCTTCTAATAGATAAATGGAGTTACCTATGGAAGTATGAATAGGCCAAATCAATCCTTCCTGGCAATTACCGATCTATTCATTTATTTTCATGCAACCCCTTAATGAGTACTGTGTATATGATGTATTGTATAGTGATTTTGTTTTTGTTTTTGTTTTTCTGCAGTATTTTGACAAAAGGTATGGGGATGGATGGCAGTGTCACTGTGTGGTGGAATCCAACTTTGGGTGTTTTTTCACACACAAAAAGGGGAGTTTCATATATTTTACACTTGAGACCCTCGACGAGAGCCGAAACCAGCTCGTCCTCATCGATAAGCGGGCCCCTCGCGATATTTATCACGATTCCATTTTTGCCCAGGGCGTTGATGACATCACGGTTGATGATGTGGCGGGTTTGGTGGGTCAGCGGGCACGCCGCTATTAAGATTTGGGAATTGAGACTTTGAAAGCTAGGTCAAGGACAGAGGTGTAGTGTTTGGTAGCCGGTTAAAAAATAAAACCAGTCCGGTTATGGACAAGAAAAAAAATTAATCGTTAGGTCCGATTTAGTTATAGTTTGGGCTAAAACCAGAGCAATCTAAACCGTGAACACCCATATCGTTGGTTACCAAAAAATGAAGTATAGCAAAATTAACTAAAAAAATATATTAATAATCAAACTTCGACAGTGCATTTTTGCTGCCGTAAAAACAAAAAGTTTTCACTCAAGTAAGATTTCAAGTTTTCAACCTATGTGCACGGTTGATTAACGGCTCGAAACTGCCCAAAGTCTGGTACGAATTTCCCATTTTTCAAATAAAAATATAACCAAATATCAGTAGCTACCAAATATCAGTAGCTCTCTAATTGTACGACCGAATATAAGAGATTACTTAACCGAACGGAATCAAGTATGGGGAAATACTATGGTCCCGTTACGGAACCATTCCGTCAGAATTTGTAACTTAGATCATCATGTAATCGTCAGGATAATTGATCTAACGGCTACAAATATCGATGGAATGATTCCGTAATGTGACCGTAGCATGTCCCCCAAGTATGTCGGTAACACCAAATTGTTCGACCGAAGTCGAACAGATTTGTTACTCTAAAACATGATCTATAAACTGGTGGAACTTAATTACTCTAAAATACTTGGGCCTATTAAACAGTGAACACTCATACACTCGTTTATGTACTCATACTAGTACAGATCCCGTGCGATGCACGGGTACACAAAATTAAGGTCATTTATCAAGTCTTATAATTATATAAATAAAAAAAGAAAAATGTACGGGATATATATAATATGTGACCGGTAATAGGCCAAAATATGAACACGGGTGATGCACGGGGTGCACAATTTTAAGGTCATTTATTAGTGCAGAGTCCGTGCGATGCACGGGGTGCACAATTTTCTAGTATGTGTATTACAAATACATACCGTATGCACGGGACAGAAGCACTAAATGAGTTATTTCCACAGAGTTTGCCCGTAAGTAGCTCTTGAACACGGGTGCACAATTTGTAGTATCAGAACAGATTTCCATACAATTATATAATAAATTAGATAATAAATAAAGCCTTTTTTATTTAGTAAAGATTTTACATACTTTTTTTTACTTATCGGATGTTATGAGATTTTTTTTGTTTTAAACCGATTTGATGGGATATAATACAAATACAATTAGAGGATTGAACAAAATCAAAACAAATTTCTATACAATTAGATAATAAGAAGGAATTAGATAAGGAAAAGAAGAAATTAGATAAAGAATTTTGAATCTACCTTTTTTTTAAGTATAGATAGACTTTATGTACAAATTTTGACTTCACCGATTTTATGAGATTTGTTTTGACAAAATCAAAGACGAACACCGAAAAATGTTTCTATTAACATTTACAATGTGTATTTAATGTTTTTATTTTGGCAAATTATTCTTTTTAAGTGTGATATATAAATATTAAAAATACTTAAAATATTTTATAACATCTATAAAAGCATCTAAAATATTCTATATTATTCACAAATAATTTTTGAAGCAACCTAATTTTTTCTAAACTACCCGTAAGAAAAATATGTCTAAAAATTCTTCATTTAACCTCCTATATGTATATATATAGAGAGAGCAAATGTGTAAAAATATTTATACAAATAATATTAAAGTATCTAAAATATTAGTAATTAGACATGTGAAATTTAGGTTTTTAAAAAATCTATATAGATAATGAATTTATAGTAGTAATTAGACTTTTATTTATTTATCTTTAAAGTTGTTACGATAGATGAGGGATGTGATTTTTTTTACTCGTGGAGATGGAATTTTATAAGCTGGGTTATGAAATTTTCTTAAACTCGTCTATATCTATGCGATGAGTTTTTTAAGCTGGTTATATAGATTTAAAATTGTAAAAAAAAAAAACTTTCATAAATCATTTGATTTGGTATTTTCGGAGAGCTTCATTAATTTAAAAGTGTAAAATAAATAAATAAAAAAGTACAACTGAAAAAGTTACAACCAATTGTATGGAGAATTAAACTAAATCCAATTTTGTAGGATGCATTAAATATTGATTAGATTTATATGTAAAATAAAATAAAAAAATAACTGAAATAGTTTTACGTGTTGCAATATTTTATATTTAAAAAAAAAATAAAAAATCTTCTTTACTTATTGCATACCAACATTTTAGGAACTACATAGATATTACTAAATTAATATTGCATACCCAATATTTTAGGAACTAATTAAATGCTAATTTGATTTGCATACCAAAAATATTAGATGTATTAATTAAATGCTTGATAAAAGTAGAAAATCATTAATTAGAGTTGACTATTCTACATACTACATTTAATAAATAGTATAGCTTTTAATATAAGTATAAATAGATTAAAGCGCCATTATTATGTTGCGTGTATTTTGGGAAGGCATATATCTGTTACGTAATTATAAGATCTGTTACGTCATTATAAGATAATGTAAATCATAAAAATCTGTAAACAAAAGGAGTCCTAGAAAACGGAAACAAATTTGAGATAATCAGCTTACCTTGGTCTATTCTTAATAAAAAATTCAGCACGTGTTAATCTTGATTATGCACAATTACTATAAATTACTATAAATTATTTAAAATTGAAATGGATAAACTCTAAAAAGTTTGAATTATCACAAGTCTTTTCAATTTCAACAATATTTAATTGCTAGAATTCCAACGAAAGGAAACAATATTATGTTTATGATAATTAAACAATAGAAAAATAGATAATAAACATATTGTTAAAATACTTTGACCCGCATTTGATGGGAATTCAATTGCTGAACGTGAGAAAAAAAGGAAAAAAGTCTTTCTATAAACGGAAAACAATAAATGAAGAAAGAAGTTTGACTGAAAATTGACTTACCATTTTTGAAAAATGGTAAATCTTATTATATATATATATATTCCGCAAATAATTAGGTGTGCCCGGACACACTTTGCTAGGTGTGTCAGGGCCTTTTGTAAAATACACCCCCCCCCCCTCAAAAGCGCGTGAGGTAAGGAGGTAAGACATTTTTTTTTAAATGGGACATGTGTCCTATTTCTATTGGGCAATGAAATTCATATATCATATTATATAAATTAAATTATCATTCATATTTTGTATCAAAAAATAAAAATAAAAATACCAAAATTCATAATTTTTTATTCTCTACAAATAGGGACCACATTTGATATTTTTTGGAACACAATTAATTTATCATTTTTTACAATTAATTTATCTTATTGGAAGATTATGACATAAATCTATAATTAGATGAATATGTTACATAGTAAGATGGACATGTTATAGAGTAAGATGAACATGTCATAGAATAAGATGAAAATGTTACATTTTCACAGATGAAATTTAGATGAACATGTTCTAAAATAAGATGAACGTGTTACATAATAAAATGAACATGTTATAGAATAAGATGAACATGATACATAATAAAATGAACATGTTATAGAATATGATGAACTTGTTACATACACAATAAGCTGAACATGTTACGTAATAAAATGAACATGTTATAGAGTAATATGAACATGTTACATAATAAAATGAACATGTTATAGAATAAGATGAACATGTTACATACACAATA